TGGAGGTGTAACAGCAAAGCCATGTGATTAGAGAAACGTGGCATAAAATTGTAAAATAAATTTAAGAAGAAAATGTTTATATGTCTAATTCTTAATACTAAACAATGTCACAGTTTACCAGGTTATTGTGAATCTAACCACTCCTGCTTTCTATCCTGCCCCAGATTTAATCAATTTTTAATGTAAAATCTGCATCTGAAAGTCTAGGAAATTCGGTATGTGTATTCACGTTTCATGTAATGCATGGATACCTTTGGTTGAATTCTCTTCTTTCTTGGGAGGAGGAAAATGTATGCTGATTTTTAATGTGGCTCTATAATTAAAAATGCACAAATAATATGATACTAATTTATTCAGTACTGACACTGCAGAAATTCTTCCTAGGCAATGAATATGGTTATGATTGGCTGTGGAAGGGTTACACAAATGGGAACTGTAATATGATCGTAGTGTTTATATTGTAATTATGACGTATCATTGGGTGTCTGTAATTATGTTGTTCTGTCAGGCCACGTTATTATTGAACGCTGATTTGGATATCCACGCAGGATTGCCTTGTACTATCAATAGTCAACACATCATTGGGGTAGTACATTTCTGAATGCTACAAATGATACTGACGTGAGAAAAAGACACACGCAACAGAGACCCACCCAGGAAAAAAAAATTACGGAACAAATATTAACAATTTATAGGTATATTATGGCTTACTATTTTATATTTAATATCTCAGTTATCCATTAGCGAGTCGTGCCACGTGTTATCGCTTTTATCACGCAACCGACGATGACTCGTAGATTGTTAAAGCAGCTTGGCTTTTGTGTAATTTGCAGGCTGAAACAAAGAGGTATTTCATTTTTGTCTGGTCACTGCTAAGGTGATATAATTGATGCAATTCATATTTGTCTGTCTAACCAAAACCTGTTTAATATATGATACTAGCGGTGCAGAACTTGAAGCCCTCTATCTAAGTACCAACTCTTCAGGTTCATATCTGCTGTACCTGTATGCATGTTTGGGTTTTACCCCATCTGCTAATAGTTTAATACTGTGGGAGTAATTATAACTGCAGATTTTGTGTCAGTAATACATTATTATCATCATTAGCATCATAATCAGTAGACGTAGTAATAGTTTTTGTTGTTATTGTTGCTGTTGTAACAAAGAACAACAGAAAAGACGAATCAATGTAGGCTTATAGAATAATTTGGTAAATCTTTAAAAAAAAGGTCTATTTTAAAAATCAGAATATAACAGGAAATATTTTACCTACATTTTTTATATTTTATGTATATGTTAGTATCAAACGTTTCCGAAAGGGCACGATCAGATAAACAAGTTGTGACTGGGTCCTGTGTAGGCTTTTAGTTCACGGTCTGCAGTGACGTTGAGTGTGCAGCATTGTCTGTCAACTGGGGACGTGGGACAGTAAGTTGCTTTCTAAAATGTTGAACATACTTGTTACAGTAACCCGGCTTCATAATTTCTGTGAACTCCAAGTGTCTAATCTATAAACTCTTTTATTCCTTACATTTAATTACGTCCTTGTATGGGCTCGTCAAACTGATTTGCTGATTTTTTCGATAAGATACGCGTACTGTCATAAATGCGAATTTTTTGTGTTCAGATATCGTTCATTATATCAAATGCAAACATGACAACATTGTAGTGAAAATTGATTAATTTGGTGTACTTATTTAAAAATAGGCGTAATTGGAAGGTCAGATTGTTCCGTGGGCCAAGATATGTTTTGTGTCTATGAGCGTGTTACTCGTACAATAACAGTGGAAATTTTGTTTATAAGGTTGACTCAGATTACGATTAACATTTAACAATTGTGGTTGATTCAAGTAGAGCTTCATTTTAGGCACATGCCCAAACACGGAACAATTTTATGATAAGTTAATGAAGTATCTAAGCCTCTACATGAGCTACGAAGCAGTGGCAGTTAAATTATCGGGTGCAAAAGACGATAAGTATTTTTATATACTGCATTTCTATCCGAACATCTAATCACAAAAAAGCGAGAGAATTCTGGTTTGTTGCGCCGTGTGGTCTGGTAGAAGTTTACCGACGTTTCAGAGGTCCTCCATCATCAGGGCGATCGCATGGCCAACAACCCAGAAGGCAGCCATATTCAGACTCGCCGCCGTGAAGAATTCAAATCCTACCTATGCTATTTATGCTTCAATGGTAAGTTATGGGCTGTGTTGCCGACGAACGTGTTTTTCTGTGTTACCAAAGAAGCTCAAAAATGTACTTACTGTCATACGTAAAGTCGTCATTAGATATCTCCGAAATTGAAATTGCTAAATAGTTTTTCTTAAAATTCTCCAGTATCAACTTTAATCGAAATAGGCCTATGTGTTTTTAATTCGAGGCTTGTGGACATACGGGCAGGCAGAGGGATGGAACGGTTGTAATAGGCGCTCCGCGGGGTTGCAAACGCCTATAATTTGTACATCTGCTGGAAATCTAAACTCATTTATTCATGACCTGGATGAACTGATAACCAGTCTGACACGAATAATAATAATAATAATTACAGAAATCAAAAAGCGGACACAGCACATTTGACTGTTTAAGACAAAAAAAAAAATTGTGTGTGTACCTAAGCACCACGTCATGAAGATGTATAATGGGAGTAAAAGCGGTTCTCTGCAAGTTCTTGGTGTCGGCACTGTTAAGAGGTGAATGACCAGTGTCACCCTCTAGCCGCTATAACTCAATACGAAAACCGCAGTACCGGTTGGAAAGCAGGGTAGACGGCCCTCAGAACCGATCTGGATATTGTGGGAAGTGAAAAAAAATCTCTGCTTGGCTGGAATAAAATCCCGGTGGCCCAACCCGCAGCTCGTGACTGTGCTGCTTCGGTTCGGCCTCATTGTTTCTGCGGCCATTTCGACAGAATAAGGATATCTGGTTAAAGTAGGTGATCTCTCTCTCTCTTCAGTAAAGCGGGCCATGTACGCTCAGAGTTATCTGCTCAGACGTGCCAGTGAAAACTCTACAATGGTTACAGAAAATTATCTATACACCACACAGTTTTCTCTGTGCAGGTCAGTTCAGTTTGCTTTGCATACGAGAACTGACATAAATTGCTAAATATACAAAATGACAACACTTGCAGTCATTTTGGTCTTCGGAAACCTCCGACTTTTACCACGTTTAGGTTTTCCTGTAAAATACAAATCTCAGCACGTGTGGTCTCCTTAAGTAATTTTGGAGCCATTGTAGTGTTTACCCAGCTACCAGTTTGAAAGCAGACATAGAACTTCCCAGCATTGTGCGGTACTTTTAGATTTCTCTTCACAATAATGACAATGTGCAGCGTGCGAATGGTTGTTCAGATCACACTGTCGATGCGCCGTGCAATAAAGTAAAAGTTTGCCGACATCCGTTAACTGCTACCAGACTACACAATGCAACGACCCAGAAGACGGCCACCCGCTGTATCAACCTGAAATCTCGCATCCTGCTATTTTATGCCATTCAGGATGAATGCGCAATGCCTTTGAGTTTTTTGACATGGCAGTCCTGCACAACCATTAGACACTCTTGAAACCACCCATTTATTTATTTAGTTTGATAATATTAATAATTTTAATTCTAATACATTTTCTTTCATTTGCAAAATTATCTGCACCGAGAGATTTGTGTTGTTATAATTGAACCAGATGATTTAACATTTCCTTCAGCGCCTTATAGCAATAGAATTGGTGTAAACATTTAAAAAATGGCAGACTAAAGAAAGGAATTTCAGTTCCTACTTTTATGATGAAGTTAAAGTTAAATGAATCTGACCTAGAATTTAGCAAACACATTCAAGTTAGCATGTCAGACACACTTCCTATGCAATGAGTATGCTGAAGATTGAGGATTGAAGGACAAATTAGAAATGACCATGGCCAGACACAATACAAGAATAATTCTCTGCTTAAAAATTGTCAGGTATGACAGAAAAAAAACATTTAAATTTACTGGACATAACTTAATGCAACCAGAATCTACCTTAAAGGAATTTTTCCCCAAATATAATAAAAGTTTGTCTAATACATTTAGCCAAGTTCACCAACCCATGAGATAAATTATGATCTATTGCTGCATTATAACCTCAAAGTCTTAAAAATATAATATTAGCAACATGAGATTTGCATAGTTAGAAACAAATGTATGCAACTTAAAATTGGACTTTCTTTGCTTTGTTTGGCACTTTTTATTAGATATAAGTGTTTTTCATCTAATCATTTATCCACAATAATATTTTAGGCTTGTCTATAATGCTTGCCATGTACAGCTCACAGGTTGCTCATCATAGAATATGTGTACTCTTCGTGACTGTAATCTTGAGACTTGCGGGGCGAATAAGGAGGAAAGATAGCGTCTGCCTTTAACACTTTGGACTTCCTGCATTCCTTGGAAGTCTCAAGATTACATTCGCGAACAGTATGTATGTACATGTGTGTATTTGCCTCATCTGAGTAATAAGTATTTTATTTCTCCCTTAGTTTTTTTATAATATATATATATATATGTGCATGTGTGCGCAGGTAAAATACAGACATGCGTGGATCCGAGGACGGACTGACTTTCTCTTTCCTAAACCAATCAAACTACCTTCTCATCTTTTGAGATGCATTAAATCTGGTTCTCAAACTGTGATTCATGAATCTTTAGGGGGTGTGAAAGGTGTTACATGTTGTTTGTTGAAGAAATGCACAGATGGTACTAATGCATTGATTTTGTTCAGAAAATTTGAAGTTCCACATGCATAGTTGTAAAATATAGTTCCACCAGTTTCATTTAGAAGGGGAATGATTTTGTGAAACACTGAGCACGGATTTAGCTGTAAGGTGATACGCCACATTAATGCGGAGGGATGTAAGGCAGAAGTAAATTTTGGATGTGGGGTTCATATATTTTGATTTTCCAAGTGATATGGAGAGGAAAAGTTTGGGAACCACTCCTTGAATATACCAAAATGAATAAATTTCATTCAGTTGCGTCTTAGGACTCTTTTTCCAACATTATGAAAAGTAAATTAATTTTTATTTCAACTGTACTGTTACATCAACCTCTTATCTACAATGACAGAATATTTTATTTCATTCAACTGGATCTCCCTTGCTGCGGTGAAGTAGACTCAATCCAAGCTCTGCAGTCTGATTGTATTTACTTTCCTAATATTATCTCTTCACATTTTCACCCTTTGGGAACAGTTTGAACTATGTTAGTTTATATTCTGGTCATAGTATATAATACAGGAAGAAATGTTTCTAGTACCTCTTTATATTTATCATTTGCATTATAGCGTCCGTGATAATCAGACAAAGGCTGGTGTTCATCTACATGAGAGTACTGATGTCAGTGTCTGGCTAATAAATGGAATCATAGAGTTGCCAGTCCCATTTCCTGCCACGTAACCATTCACCTTGGTTATGATATAATGCATAAAATAAACTAGTGTGGAAGAAGACACTTAGGGAAGGGTAGTTTCAAGAATGTTGTTTGTCTGCAGTCCACAAACACCTAGTGTTAGTCAGACAGTCTCCTGTACGCAGAGCTCAACTCGGCGAATGAATGTAAAAAAACTATTTTATCATTACTATGCTGTTAAGTAGACAGGTTGGTGTCCCTGCTTCTTTGGCAATATTACATTTACTCCGGTTAGCACGAAAAAAAACATAGGATTATGCATTAGCCTTCTAAAATCCTTTTGGGTTAACAAGACCTCAAACCATCCATTAATTTTCTACACAATTTCATGGGATAAATCAGACAAGTACAAGACATTTATTTTCACCTTTGACATTGCAATTGAAAACCTAGAGGCAGTGTTTATTTTATATCTGCCCACAAGTTCAAGCACAAAAGAGAATATCCTATAAACACTCACTTATTCAGACTGTGGTCTTGGTTCTATCACCTTGTGGTTAGTTACTATCATTTCAGAGGAACCTTAAAAACGTGTGAAACCACCTACAAGATTATACAATGTCCCGACACAGAAGACAATATGGCCATGAAAACCCTAAATCTCGGCCACTTATGATGCGTTCTTCTATGTATACGCACAGGAAAATGATTGGAATTTATGACTTTACATGTTTCATTGTCTTAAAAGAAATTATCATTAATTACAAGGCAAACAAATTAATTGGTCATAATTTAAAGTACCTTTTACAAAATATTTGAGTAAATTTACAGAAATTTTGAATAAGTTTACTTACATTTCAGCATAGCATAAAACACATAAAAATAGAGGATAATAAGCACACACTGTGAAAACAAGAGGATTAAAAATGAAGAAAATGGAATGTCCTTCTTCTTAAGATATCTTTCTACAGCACTGTTCCTTCAAAGTGTTTTGCTCCTATCGTCCTTTATTTTCATGTGATACAATTACATTTTTAATGTGAAATAATATCTCGTATAAGAACTATTCACCTTACCATTCTTGTTTTTAATTTGTTCCTGTAAGAATATTCCTTACCAAATCATAAGTGTCACAAGTTTTCCTCCTGCACTGAGCACTGCGGTAGAAACTGTCCTGTAAGTCGCACATTTGGAGGGACTGCTTTAAAAAAAGTGTGAATAATAAAAATGTGTACCACCCTATACATTTACAAAATCTAGATGGTGATAGTCCTGTTATCATGCATTCAGCCCAGAATCCTTCTTCACGTCTTCTGTGATGCCAGTCTTGTCGTCTTTCTCACTTTCTCCTAAAATCAAGTACAGTCATCTTCAAAATTAAACCACTTGTCTGCAGTTAGTTCAAAAGCTTTATAGAAAATAGTAATTGTATCTTCATACATCGAGCTGTTCAGAGCTTCCGTTACCTTTCGTGTCCATTTTAGTGGCATCCTCAATTTTCATTTTCTCATCACCATCCTGCTTATCTTGTTTTGTGTCCAGTTTGTCCAATCGGGGACGTTTTCTGCTCTTGAATGACCTACATATAACAAGAATTACTTTCAATGACTTCCTCTTGTTGCTTTCACAATGTTTACTTATTTACGCAAACAGAAAAGGAGAAATGTGCAAGACAAATTACTACAAAGTGCTGATGTAGGAACCTCTTATGAAGTAGCCATTTGGAAAATTAAGAATCTGGGAGGAAATAATGTCAAACAATGAAGCATGACCCTGACATCCAAATATCAGAAATACTGAACAAAGTGCCAGACTGGTGTACAGTATGACTGACAAGCATGGGCAGATTACAAACTCTTTAAATGAAGTGGCAACTTATACGTACCACCGGTTTTCATATTCAGTATCTCTATATTCTTATCTTCATAATGGAGGCCTTTTTTTAAACAGGAACTGAATTTTTAAAAATTATTTACATAAATTTAATGTGCTCCAAGAGGTTAAGGAATATAACCAATCAGAAAAATTTCAGAACAGGGAGAACATGGTTATTTAACCCTTCATGATATGATCTCTTTCTAAAACAGCTTTTCTTTCCCAAGTTAAATTTTTCCCAATATTAAAGGAGTTGGTAGGAGTACTGTTTCATACAGATACTATGTGCATGATTTTCTTCAGATTACGAAGAAAAAAAAAACTGTTCTTCAAACACTAAAATTCCTTGCTCCTCTACAGTCTACAGTGAAACCTCTATCCATCATTCCCCGAACTATCGTTTTCCCGGATGCATCGTCCGTTTTGT